GGGTCGCGAGGTTTCGGGGGCTCGGATGGTGCAGGCCGGAGGCGGGGCCGGGGGGCGGGGCCCGGAGTCGGGGGGTCGGGGCCGGGGGCGGGGTCGGCCGGAGGCGGGGGGCGGGGGACCGGGCGTGAGGGGCAGGGTCCCCTCCTCCCCAGACGGCGGCGGCAGGGTCTCAGTGGAGACCCTGGGTCCTTCTGCGTGCCGGAGGCCTCTGCCCTTCAAGCCGAGCAAGCAGGGCTGCCATATGGGCAAAGGAGACCAAACTTCCGAGGCCTTGTAGGTCTTTACTTACCTTGTTTCTGTGAAGAGCTTTATTGATACGTAACTTACATGCCACAAAGCACCACAGAGTTCACGTATGCGTCTTTGTGAAAACTGTCCCGAGAAAGGAAAGCAAAGCACACCGAAGACAGCGAGGAACTCGCTCAGAAGTCCTCGGCTGACTTTGGGCGTCAGGGCAGCCTCATCAGGAGATCGATGGTTTCCAGGTTGAATACTCCTGGCTTTCGGGGTCCCCTGGAGAGGAAGATGTCCAGGCCACCAGCTCGGCGCGCTCCTGTGCAGGCTCCACTCTCCCTGGGCCTCTCCCTTTTGCCGCTGTTGCCCCCCTTGTGTGGCTGGGAGGGAGCCCTGACCTTGGGGCCACTGGTCAGCCTTACAGGATGGCGGTGATGTTGCAGCCAGGAGAGGGCCTGGCACGGTGGGCGGGCAGGCCCCTACACAGCACCCTGCAGTGGAGGTCAGTGTGGGGACCCAGCACTGGGTAGAGTCCAGGTTCCAAGAGGGTTGGCCAGGTGTGGTAGGCCTCCAGCTCAGGTGTGAGTTGGCATGTGCCCTCTACCCCCATCCTACCCTCGGCCACACCTCCATAAAGCAGAGCCTGCCAGACCCAGGAGGGTCTCCGGTGGCCAAGGTGCCCAGACTTCAGAAGTGGGGATGGATGTAGGGGGTCAGGGCTTTGGGCCGCACCCTGCTGCCTCCCAGTTCTCCAGCCCGCTAGTCTGTCCAGTTTGGAACCCTTGGCTTTGTGAGCAGGCCTAGTGGGTTGGTTGGGAGATGTTTTTTCTGGGAACTCCATCCGGTGCTGGTCAGCTCTTGGTCTGGAAGGCAGTTTCTGGCTTCCTAATTTTTAGAGGGGTGAACGAGAGGGCATGGCTGTCTCAGTCTGCTCTGCAATCGTGACAAAACACCACTGAAGGGGGCTTAACGGTTTTCTCACAGTTCTGGAGACGGAAAAGTCAAGATCAAGGTGCTGGCTGATTTGGTTGCTGGTGAGGGGTCTTTCTTCCTGGCCTCCAGACAGCTGCCTTCTCACTGTATCCTCACCGGGCAGCTCTCCCGGGTCTCTTCCCAGGAAGGCTCTGATCCCATCCTGGGGCACAGCCTCATGACCTCACCCAAACTTCACCATCTCTCAAAGTCCCCGCCTCCTAATTTCACCCCCACTGGGGTTAGGGCTTCAAACTATGAGGGGACACAATTCAGTCCATAGCCATCCCTGCAAGGGGACAGCTGCCTGGGCTGGGCAGGCGGGAGCCCGTGGCCTGCCACGCAGCCTGCACTGTCCGGTGTCCTCAGGTCTGTCCTGCCAGGGGCACCCAGCAAACCGTTTCCTACACTAACACCCCATCCAACAAGAGCACCTTGACACGTTCCCTGGGGGTTCCTAATGCAAGTGGGGCTCTCCCTGCCCTGTGAGCAGGCGCATTCTCTGGTGAAGCCGACAAGATAGGTCCTCACGGGGGTCAGGGATTCCCTCGGATTTGGAGTTCGTTTTCCTAGAAGCGCGTGGGTGGCGCTGTCATCTGCGTGGAGCCAGATAAGGGTGGTGTCCCTCTCTGTGGACGAGTCTCCTGAAACCAGGTGGCTGGTTCTCTTCATGCCCCAGCAGAGGGAAGCTGAGGTGACATCTCAGTGTGGCACGCCTCGTGCTGCTCGTGGGTGGCTGGGTGGCTGTTCTAACCACCTCGGCCCTAAAGGCAGGAGCTAAGAGCCTGGCGGGTTGGAACGACTTGCCCAAGGCCGCGCCACGCCAAGCAGCAGCCTGAGATCTGGCCAACCCTGTGGCCGTCCCCCACAGGATGGGTGCTGGCTGGCAGCCGCCTAGAGGGCTGGCCTCTGGTGGCCAGGCTCAGGAGGCCTTTCCCGCCACTGAGCCTGATGCCTCCCCAGGCCGTGCTCCGTGGACAGTCCGGCTCAGCGGTGACACCTGTTGCGGGGGTGAGCACCTGAATTGGGCAGAAGGGTCTCCTTTGTGCCGGGCTCCCCAGGGTCTCGGCGTTGGTGGCCGCGGCGTGGCCAGGCTGCCGGGCGGAAGCCTGGTTCCGGGCTCCCTGGGGCTGTGCTGGCTGGTGGGAGCTGGTCGCTGGAGCCTGCGTTTAGGAGGGGGCACGTCGATCTCCCCGCGAGGGTGTTAGCCTGGGGTCTGCTGGTCGCTGCAGCCTGTGGTGGTGTGATGAGAAGCCAGGACCCGTCGTCCAGAGATTTTTGTGGCCAGAAACACAGCCTGCGGGTGTGGGAGATGGAGGCTGGGCCCAGGGTTCTATGGCGTTGGGCCCTTTGCTCCCCTCCCGTAAATATTTAGAGAGGCTCGGATCCCAGCCGTAAATATTTGAAAATGCATCACGGTGAGCGGGGCTCCCTAGGGGAGGAGGGATTGATGACCCACGTCCTCCAAGCGTTATCAGCAGGAGCCCTGGCTGAGGGTGCAGGAAACCAGGGTATTGGGAATTGTGTGCGTGTGATGACATCAGAGACGCTTCTCAGAATCACGGGCTCTTGGCCCTGAAGGGGCTTCGGTGGCCTTCCTGCCTGACCCCACCCCCACCCCAGGCCAGGCACCCACCCCGTCGAGCTCGAGGGGACCTGGGTCCTGGTGCTGCGGTTGGTGGCCCAGCCAGCTCGGGGCTCAAGGCTCGTCTGCCCCCTGGGGACAGAGGGTGAGTCTGGCCTGGCCTGGCCAGGCCAAGTGCAGGGAGGGCAAGGGCAGGGCCGACCCAGACCTGTGACGCCCACCCCTGTGGGAGGGAGGCTGAGGCCTCGGTGGCCCTCCTCTTACTGCCTGTCACACAGGCTTCCCAGGACAGCACTGGACGCTTCCTTGAGAAGTTTCTCTAGTACTTTGGCAGCCTTGTGTGAAGCAGACCGGGGGGATGCTCTCCTGGGCCCGCTCGGGAACCTGAGAGGCAGGCGGGCCCCAGCCCGGCAGCAGACACAGCTTCCTGTTTCTATTTCGGTCGGTGCCTTGCATCAGTGGAGCGCTTTCGTCTGTGAAGTGGGAAGGAGGAGGCCCTGGGAGTGGTGAGGCCGGGTGAGCCGCCGCCCGTGGGGACCGGGCGCCCCTGTGCTGCGGCTCCTTCCCCGATGGCGGGGCGCCCGGGGGCCCAGGCCAGGCTCAGACCCCAGAGCCGGCTCCCCTGCCCCGTGCGGAGGCCCATGGCTCTGCCTGCCGCCCTTCTCCGCTGGCGGGCCTGCCCCCTTCTGGTCCTGAGCCAGTTTCTCTTCCAGACCCTTCCCCCAACCTCATTTCTTCCAGAACGCACAGCCATCCTCGTCCTCGGGATGGGCTGCCCCTGCGCTGAGCCACCTGCCCGAGCCGGTCCTGCCGGCCGCAGGCGAGGAAGCGGAGCTCCAAGCGGGCTGGGAACAGAGCCCGGGTTAGGGCTGGGCTCGGGGTCACGGGTATGAGGGGGAAGGAACTTG